GCCCCCCGCCCCCAGCTGGCCACCCCCAGCGGCTGCTGCCACACTTGGGCCAAGGCTGCTCTTCACTTGCAGATCCATACCCAGAGGCTCCTGCAGCAAACCCATAGGGTCAGGGATGCTGGAGGTGTGGAAGGTGCCGGGTGCCAGAGCTGCTGGTGGGGCTGAGGCTATGGGGAAGGACAGCTTCTGGTACAGGTTGGCTGATCTGGGAAAGAGACAGGAGCCATGGCCAGGGGTCACCTCTGCTTCTGCCCCCAGAGCATCCCCCGGCTGCAGGTTGGGATCGGTCCCCACCTCATGGGTAAAAGGTTTTGGGGCTCAGGGCTGTTTGGTGTCTCCCAGGACAGAATGTTGGGGCTCCCCATGTTCTGGCCACCCCAACAGCCTCCTTGGAGCCAGCACAGACATGTCCCTGCAGGACTCATGGACACAGCCCCACGCTGAAGGCAGCACCGAGACCCTGGGACAAGGACAGACATTGGTGATGGACACTCACAACAAGACAGGCTGCAAGGCCTCATCCTGAACAGCTCCAGCCTCCCTGCACAGCAACAGAACCCCTCACAACCCTGAGGATGGTGAGGGAGGGAGCTGCAGCCCAGGCACGGGCCCTCCCGCCCTTCTCCAGCTGCATCTTGGGCAGTTGCAAGACCAGGAAGGGGCAAAGAAAGAAGAAACAAAATCACTGCACCAGCCTCAAAGTGCCTGGAAAATTCCTCCCTCTTTATTGCCCATTTCCCATGGGAGCTCCACAACCTGGGGCCGGGACAACGCCTTTGGGAAGCGGCCTCACCTCTGCAGTCTGCTCGAGAGGAGGAGGAAAACAAAAGAACAGAAAAAGCCCGAAACCAAAACGTGAAGGAGCCTCAGCGCCGGAGGACAAGGTCTCCCCTCCCGAAGCTGCTCCAGAAGCCCTTGGTGCCATCAGAGCCATAGGGCAGGTGAAGCACCACATCCTGCAGGCCAAGGCGGTCGCTCATCATCCCCTGGGCTGGTGGGGCAGTGCCAGGAGAGGGTTTGCTCTCAGGAGAGGGGCTGCTGTGCCAAAAAAGTGCAGCAGGGGCCGGAGCAGCTCCCGGTGTCCAAGGTGAGCGGAGGGAAGACTTTGCTGCTGAGGAGTGACCCAGTGATGGTGTTGCTGAAGTTGCTGAGCTTTAAGTTCCCACCAGATGAGGTGGGTGTCGAGGGGTCCTTGCTCTGGAGGAGGGGTGGTGACACCCAGGCACCATCTGACCCTGGAGCGCTGCAGAGCCCAGAGAGGGGCCGGAGCAGCTCCCGGTGTCCAAGGTGAGCGGAGGGAAGACTTTGCTGCTGAGGAGTGACCCAGTGATGGTGTTGCTGAAGTTGCTGAGCTTTAAGTTCCCACCAGATGAGGTGGGTGTCGAGGGGTCCTTGCTCTGGAGGAGGGGTGGTGACACCCAGGCACCATCTGACCCTGGAGCGCTGCAGAGCCCAGAGTCCCCGAGGCTGCGGGGGAACACGGAAGCGGCCGCCTGCACGCTCCATCCCATCTGGTCCAGCTCCATCACCTTCCTCTCAGCCCCAGGTTTCTTCTTGGAGCCCCTCGTCCAGAGCCGGACCACTTTGATGCACTCCCCGCCCAGGCAGCTCTGGCTGCTGAGGTCCTCAAAGGCCCTGCAGGCACTCTCCAGGCTCTCGTACTCCACCATCGCGCAGCACTTGCTCAGCAGCTCCGGGAAGCGGGACGTGTATTTCCGCACATCCGAGGGCAGTTTGCGACCTGGACGCAGGATGCGGATGGAAGCGATGGCTCCAAAGGGGCTGAACATCCTTGTGATGGTCTCAAGGAAGTTCTTCTGGAGCAGCGGTGGCATGTCCTGCTCCTGGGGCTGCAGCTCCCAAGCCAGCAGCAGTTTGCTGGGGGGGACGGTCAGGAGGGACTCGGGGATGGGGATCCTCCTCCTCACTTTGGTCCCCTCCTTATTCACCTCCAGCAGCCTGGAGAACCGCAGGGCGTAGAGCGTGAGCCGCCAGTCACGCGTCAAGTATCTCACCTATGGAGAGAGGGAGACACTGCAGCCCCATGAGTCTAAATCCCCCTAAACACACCATCCAGGCAGGCTTCAACCCCATCATTTTGAAGTCATGGCAAGACAATATCCTTCTTCCATGTGAGCATCTTTAAGGCCTTCAGGAGAAGGTCTCTAATGCCCCCTGGACAGTCTTCCCCACACATCACAGCACCAGCGCTTCCTTGCACTGTTTTCATTAAGGGATGGTCTTTCCCAAAGCAGCCCAGAGGAGCCATAGGCAGAAGAGCTGAATCCAGCCCCAGGGGTGGTTTGAGGGCTATTTGCCACTTCCCCAGCTGGAGAACTGCTGCAGAACATCAAAGGCACAGAGCAGAGCCTGGCCCTGCACCACCAGCACTTCCCCAGGACACAGAGAGCCTGAACCTGCCCATACACCCCACCAGAGACAGCCAGAGCACACCCAGGCCTCCTCCACATGAGTCCACTTCCCACCGCAGCTGGATGGCACCTCGGGCTGCCTACCTTCTTGAAGGACGTGAGGAGTTTGATGCTGACAAAGCCCATCTTGTTCTTCTGGACGTGTTTCAGGAGGAAAGCATCCTTGGCCAGGTTCTCATCAGAGAGGTAGAACTCCACCTGGGACACGATCCTCCGGATCAGCTGTGGGTCAGGGATGGAGTAGTTGCAGTCCAACAGATTGGCCCCCAAAGCATCACTCATGTTGCAGAAGGTCCTGGCAGAGCAGCAGGGACATGAGCATGAGGTGGTGGCCTTTGGGATGTGCAACAATGCCCAGTCACAGCCACAATGGTGCAGAGACCAGAGAGACCCAGAGCCATCAGCTTTGCCCTGGCTACAGGGGAATGATGCCAGCCTGCACCCTGTGAGCACCAGTGCTAGACAGTGAAACTAAGCCCTTTCCAGACAAAGGACATATTCCCTTGGGGATAAGCATAAGGCAAGACCAGGGCTCAGACCCCCCTCCACATTCCAGCTACCACATACCCACTGAAGCTCTCAAAGAAGCCCTCCTGGCTGAGGAGATCGAGTGAGCAGCTCTGTGGTGGAAGGTGATGCTGTGTTGGGATGGAATTTCTTTGTCCTGGAATTGGGGTGCTGCAGCTGGGCTGGGAACGGGGTCTTACGGCCACCCCAGAGCTACCCGCCGAGATCATCCTTCATCTGGGACATTATACAGCAGAAGTGCCGGGACATTCCCCAACCACAACCAGCCCCGGGGCAGAGCCCCCAGGCCAGGGGTGGGGGAGCAGAGGCAGCTTGTGGCTGCCCCCTTACCTGCTTGGCAGTGCTGGGAAGGGTAGAAAGTCCTGGCACTACATCCTAGAGACCTGCAGGCAGAGACCCCAAACCCTCCCCACCTCTGAATGAAGGCTCCTGAAACAGAAAAGAAGGGAAAAGAAAGAAAGAAAAAGACCTTGGAGCACCCAGGCTGCTGGTTTATAAGAGCAGCCACCCCGAGGGAGTCCTATCAACCGGTTATGGACCCACCAGGTGAAACCTCTCTGCAGGTTAAGCAGCCCCAGCTGAGCTCTGGGGACAGCCCCTGTGCCCTCTGCTGAGCCCGGCCAAGCAGGCAGAGCAGCACAGAGGCACCAGTAGCAGTACTGGTACCAGTACCAGCC